AAAATTTAGGGTTTCCTCCTGAATCTAGTACACCGCGTGTACATAAGTGTACGACCAACGTACTAGGGCGTGCCCTAGTACGCTCAGCGTACACACATGTACGCATGGCGTACTACTCTTGCCATAATTACGAATTTGCCACTAGGGCTTCAAAGCATAACTTCTTGGACTTAGGGACCAAAATGACATGAAATAGAATTATAGGGATGAATTTAGAAGTACCTGAACATCGGGATGTTACATATGGGGTAGACGGATGATATTGACAGTGTTCTTAACCAACCTTCAATTTTCGTTTCAATGCTCACATCTTGGGATGAAGTGTAACAAAATTCATCATGATGCACAAACACTTACATATGTTGAATTTCCAACAAATTTTGTTTGGAAACTCACTGATAGGAGTTGGAAGTCGAGGAAAGTAGGATTTTCCATTGGTAGAATTTATTCGATTTCACCTAATCTTGGCGAAACTTTTTTCTTGATATCATGAATGCAGTTAAAGATAATAAAGGATATGTCTACTTTTTTATGGTTATGGTGGAACGGGTAAAGCTTTTCTATGGAAGAAAATAATTGTAGGAATTAGATGTGATAGTCAAATTGTTTTAAATGTTACTACAAGTAGGATTGCTTCATCATTATTGCCCGAAAGTAGGACAAAACACTCTCGATTTATAATTATGTTGATTCTTAATGAGGGTTATGTTCGTAAAATAAAGCCATATAGTGAACTTACTAGTTTATTAAGAGAAACCTCATTTATCATTTGGGATGAAACACATATGGTCCATAAGCTTGCATTTGAAGTTTTAGATCAAACTTTGAAAGGTATATTATGAAAATTCTAGCAACTTAAATATTCCACTTGGAGGGAAAGTGATTGTTTTTAGAGGAGATTTCAGGGAAATTTTACATGTTATTCTGGGTGGCAGTTGACGAAACATATTTATTCCGGGTGGCAACAATGAAAAATACATAAATAAACAAAAAACGAGGCTAATTGTTGGAAGGGATCCATATGATATTCAAAAAAATAAGTGATTTTGCAAATTTGCTTTTGGATATACGAGAAGACAAACTTGGTATATCCTTCGATTTTGGAAAAATACAATATTACAGGTTGTTTTCAAGAAAAGAGCAATATTTGCTACAAAGAATGAAGTCGTTCAAGAAATAAATGATCGTTTGCTATCATTGTTTCCAAGAGAAGAAGTAGAATATTAAAGTTTAGATAGTCCTTTCCATTCGCGTTTATTCATGATTAGTTTGATGCAACTTTATACATGTTTGATGTTTTAAACGATATGAAAGTCTCGGGTCTGCCAAATCATAAGTTAGTTTTAAAAATTGGGGTTCTGGTAATGTTAGTGAGAAATATTGATCGAAAAATGGCCTATGTAGTGACACTAGACTGTAGGTGATATCATTAGGCAAACTTATTATTGAGACAGTTATGATATCTAGAAGTAATATTGGAAAACATGCTTTTATTTTAAGAATGTTTTTAAGTCGTTCTAGAAAAAAATTCTGTTTGAATTCCAAAAGAGACAATTTTTACTGATTGCATGTTTTGCAATGCCTATTAATAAGAGTCAAGCACATCCATTGTTCAAGGTTTGTTTGTTTATCAAATATCCTATTTTTTTTACACATGACCAATTATATGTTACCTTATCTACAGAGAAATATTAAAATTGTTAATTCAGATAAGGATGATCACTACAAGAAATTAGAGTATTACCAGCGACGGGCGTCGCCGCTAAAGGTCGAAAATATCGCCGCTAAAGGTATTAGCGGCGACCTGTCGCCCCTAAAAGGGTCCCTGCTGTTGGTTCGTTGCTAATGCTCCACTGGTCGCCGCTATTGCCTTCCGCCGCCGCTAATACTATCTGTCGCCGCTATTATATGTATTTTTATACATACAAATACACATACATACATAATACAATACAAAATACACATATACATATAAAAACACATACACATACAGAATTCACATACAAAATACATATATACATACAAATGAACATACAAAAACACATATAAATACATAAAATACACTCAAGATACACATATACATACAAATGCATATACAAATACATATCCACATCCACAAAAACAAAATACACATACAAATACACATCTAAAAAATCAAAATTATCAAAATTTCGTCATGAACAGTAGTGGTGGCGGTATACTCCGGCGAGAACGGTGGGGGATCTCAAAATTCCGACAACCAACACAAATTTAGTAGGGAGAAGAGAAAAGGAAAAGAAAAGGAGAAAAAATGAAGAGGAAGAGGGGTGAAATATCGAAGATTTCGGTGAAATTCCGATGAGGTCGACGGTGGTGAGCAGAGAGAAGAAGGGAAAACACAAATGACCGGGAAAGAAAAGTGAGGACGAAGAGGATTTTATTGTCGACGCTCTTTAGCGGCAACGGGCAACCTTTAGCGGCGACACATCGGAGGGAAAACAATCCGGGGTTTCCTATGTCGTTGGATCATCGCTTAAATCGACGGATGGGGTTGAAATGACGCGGATCACCAGAACAGGAAATAGCGGCGACGGGCAGCCTTTAGCAGCGATACACCGGAGGGAAAACAACGCGCGATTTTCTACGTCCTCCTAGTCTTTGGATCATCGCTTAAATCGAAGGTTGGGGTTGAAATGACGCGGATCGCCAACATAAGCCTTTAGCGGCGACGGACACTTTTAGCAGCGACAAAAAACGCGTTTGTTTGTTGTCGCCGCTAAAAGTGTCCGTCGCAGCTAAAGGTGTCGCCGTTATTGCCTATTATTCTTGTAGTGGTGATAGACTTACAAATCTTTAATGTTGTTTATAAAGAAAGTTTTTAGAAATTTATAAACAATTCGTAGATTTTATTTTTATAGCATCTTTACTTAATTATAGTAAATCATATTTTATTCATCATTTTGATTTAGAATTTATTTTTTTGGGTTTATGTAAGTTTATTACATTACCTTCATATTTAATTTCTCATATATTAATGTCATTTCCATGATTTATTGTGTTTTTTTCAATATATTCAAATGTATATTGCATCATACAAACTTATGATTTTATAAAATAACTAAATTTACAAGACGAAAATTATATATTCATAATGGTTTATATATATCTTTTTAAAAACAAAATAACAAATTTACCAACAAAATTTATGTCTTTGTATGTTCCGTTGATTTTAAAAATAAAATAGAGATCTTGAGATTCAACATCAGCCACGTATTTCACATCTGCCGCTCTAACCCTCTGACGTATCGGCGCGACAGGTCTGGTATAATCATAAATGATTATACCGTGTCGCTCGTTCCTTTCTCCTCCGCCACCATCCCCACCACCATAACCGCCACCGCCACCACCACTACCACCACCTCTAACACCAGCTGACCCCAACACTGTCACCTCCGTTACTTATATCACCGTCACCTCTGTCACCACCACCTCTTCGGCCACCAACTGTCATAATCATTTATGATTACTCAATCTGTGAACATACATATATGTATAATCATTTATGATTAGGCATATACGTATAAACATGTATAATCCTATATGATAATACCTCTCTGCCATGTAATCATTTATGATAATGCATACCCAATTACTGCCAGTACGCTGGAGCATTAGAGCGGCAAATGAGAAATATGTGGCAGAAGTTGAATCTCATCATTTGTACTTTTTTTTTTAATCTCAAGTGAACCGTCTCCTATATATATATATATATATATATATATATATATATATATATATATATATATATATATATATATATTATATATATATATATATATATATATATATATATATATATATATATGTTCAGATTAATTTGAGACCACGTTAATTTTGTTAGAACGTGAGACTAAATCTAAAAATAATTTTAAAATGCAAAATAAAAGGAAAAATCTGAAAATTCTTTTTTTAATTATTATTTTCGTCACTTTAAATGCCTACAAAATTAAAAAAAAAAATACCGTTTTTTTTTAAAAATGCGTGAAATATTCTAATAGAATATTACACTGTAAATATTCTAATGTGATTTTTAGATTGTTAGAATATTCTACTAGATTTGTCAGACGCGTAAAATATCTAATATTCTACTAGAATATGTAAAAAAAAGTATTTTATTTTATTTTATTTTATCATTTTGGTATTTTTTTTTTAATTTTTTTTTGGAAAATATAAATGACGAAAATAATATTTGAAAATTTTCAATTATTTTGCATTTTAAAAATGGTTTTTTTATCTACAAAATGAATGGCTAGGATTGCGTCTCACGGTCTGACAAAATTAGGTTGTCTCACATGAACCTATATATATATATATATATATATATATATATATATATATATATATATATATATATATATATATATATATATATATATATGGAAAAGTTCAATAGAGAACCATAATTATTGGTTTTTCAAGGAAACAAATCTTTTTTTCAATTTTTAGAACTTATTCTTTACCGAAAAAAAATCTTAAAATATCTAAATTCATATATTAACATTGTGAATGTGAAAAATATTTTTTAGAACAAGCTAAAGTATATAACAACGTTAAAACAATTCCAAAGCATCCAGATGAAAAACAAACTTAATGTTCTTCTACATATTTTACATATCATGCATTTTCAATATTTTCAAGATTGTTACGTCTAAATATAATATATCCACTAAACAATGGATTTTGTGGTGCAAGGCAATTAGTATATATTTGTATGCGTTAAAAAATATAATATCAACTTTGTCGTGCTAAGGAATATAATTAATATCAATTTACAAATATATACATAGTCAACATATACCTGTACACATTCAAGATTTATACACTAGATGGAAAAGGTGACCTCTGATCATTAAACTTTTTTTGTTAAAAATCAGGTGGACTGATTTCATCTTAGGCTGCACTATAAATGGAGGCGGATACCATTGCCAGACAAACACAACAAATAAATAACACTCATCGAGATGGAAATCTTCAGTTTCTTCCCTTCATGGCTTTTTTCAACAGTATCAATTCTCTTATTTTCTTCAATCTTCTTGTATTCTCTACGATGGAAGAAAACATCCAAGGCTGCCCCTAACCTTCCCCTCAGCCCTCCTAGGCTTCCGATAATAGGAAACTTGCATCAAGTGATAGGTAAAAACTTCCATCAAATCCTATGGAAAGTCTCCCGAAAATACGGCCCTATTATGACGGTCCATTTAGGTTCCACACCATACGTCATCATCTCCTCCAGTGAATTTGCAAATCAGGCCTTAAAAGCCCACGATCAGATACTTTGTAATCGTCCACGTTCCAAGGGTTTCAAACGACTAACCTTCGACTACATGGACGTTGCTTTCTCCCCTCATGCTGATCAATGGAAGGAGATGCGAAAGGTTTTGGTAACCGAGTTCTTAGGTTCTAAGAGGAGTAAATTGTTCAAAAAAAGTGGTAGACACTGAGGTCAAGGGCATGCTTGATTCTTTTTCATCACTGCCTTTGAATACTACCATTGACCTAGACGAGAGGCTCTTTCATCTTGTAACCGACATTGTTAGCAAGGTTGCAGTGGGTAAGAGCTATAGAGAAGAGACGTTTAGAGGTAAAAAACTAAAGGAGATGCTTGATGATCTGGTAATCTCTCTTTGTGGTTCTGTTTCCGATATTTATCCAGGTAAATTAGGGTTGATATTAGATGAACTACTTGGGTTTAATCGGAGGCTAGAAAAGACTTTCAGTAATTTCGACGCCTTTCTTCAAATGGTTCTTGATGAGCATATTGATCATACTGGAACAAGTGACCATGAAAAAGATATGGTTGATGCATGCAGATCTCAGTTGACTACAAACGAAATGAAAGCCCTTTTGATGGTAAAAAAACCTAAATTATTAATATTGCATGTTTTTCGAAAAAACTAGCATATAAATGTAAGCTAACTCTTGTGATCTTAAACCTATCAGAATGTGCTTAATGGAGCAATTGACACAACTACCACGACAATGGTGTGGACGATGTCTGAGATTATTAAAAATCCTAGAGTTATGCAAAAGCTACAGGAAGAAATTCGAAGATGCGTTGGGAGAAAATCAAGTGTTGAGGAAGCAGATGTTGCAAATATGCCATACTTAAAGTTGGTGGTGAAGGAGGCGTTAAGATTGCATTCGACTGTTCCGTTCTTGCTTACAAGAGAATGCATAAAGCATTGTCAGATTGGTGGGTACGACATCTTCCCTGGGACAAGAGTGTTGATAAATGCATGGGGGATAGGAAGGGATCCAAAAGTGTGGACAGAGAGTGCATCCATTTTCAATCCTGAGCGCTTAGAAAACCTTGAGTTGGACCGTAGTGAGATGATTCCGTTTGGAGGGGGCAGAAGAGCCTGTCCAGCGGCAAGCGTTGCTACTCAGATTGTAGAATATACGATTGCAAACCTTTTTTACTCCTTTGATTGGCAACTTCCAAGTGGAATGAAGAACGAGGAACTTGACATGGAAGAGGTTGGTTCCCTGATCGTTGTTAGGAAAACGCCTCTTTCCCTTGTGCCCGTGAAGTATGATTGGCAAGACTAATTGATAATCATTCGGTTTTCCATGGGAACAAGATTTGGGGAGTAATATACTAATACATATGTATGCAATAATATGATTTGAAAGTGTCACGGAGCCCCAATATGTTATATCTATTTACTCAATATTTGATGCTATAATTAAGATACTTTGTAAAAATTCCTTAATCTATCCTAGAGTTGAATATATATATATATATATATATATATATATATATATATATATATATATATATATATATATATATATATATATATGAGTAAGATCAAATGAGAACACCTAAAAGGTTGAGAACGCGAGAACAGTTCTAAGCCCTCTAGAATTTAAAATCAAAGGTTAATATTAACGGGCCATTTATCTAAATTCTGAAAGTCATAGGATTAAACTGTAACTTCTTAATTAACTAAAATTAACTAAAATGATACAATAGTCATTAGGTTTTATCCTATTTTTATCAACTCCTAAAATCTCTCTCTCTATATCTCTATCTCCCACAATTTTTATTTCTATCGATACACGTCTCTCCCCTACGGTTTTCTCTCATCTATTCGACCGCTTCCCACTGCTCCTGTTACATCGATTTCGGAATGAGCCCACTCTGTTCCACCATCGTCTCCACCGATATCTCCATCTTTTGTACCATTCTCCTATCTGCTTAGTAACATCATCTCTATCCCCTAGATCTGAGCTCTAATTACTGAAACGACAATGATAGAAGATCAAGAAGGATCTCAAGTCCTCACTCCTCCGCCGCCTCAGCCACTGTGACAACCGTAGACAATCACGGGTTCTACGATCAAAATCAAGTGAGATTATAGGTCAATAGATCACACAAAGGTATATCTTTCTCCTATTACTCAAAACCTTGATGCGAATACAATTGTTTTTTTGTTCAATTTAGTTGATTTCAGTGAATGTTAACCATGGCTGCCAGACTGAAGCTGTAATCCGTATCGCTGAGATTCGAAGGAAACCCTATAGTTTCCGCCTTTCGTTTTTTCTTTATTCGGATGGTTCATTAGGGTTTCATTGGGTTCAGAATTTTAACGATGGCAGCCATCGACGTTACGAAATATTCTCATAGTCCGACATACAAAGCCGTGATAACAAAAGATTAAGGCGGTCTGAGAAAAATCATCACCGGACGACCACGCCTCTGTGATCCATCGAAGATCCACAACGAATCAATCTCTTTAACCGAGGAAGCCAAAGCCGATACCATATTAGAAATTCTTTGTCTCTTAACAGTGTTTTCTATTCATTTATGAATAAATGTGTATTCAAATGTATTCATAAGATTAGATGTATATTAATTACTGATTGAAGTGTATTCATTAGTGATTAAATATGTATTTAAATGTATTCATAAGATTAGATGTATATTCATTAACGATTGAAGCAATTCATATTTAGATGTTTTCATTTATGGCGATGTTTCTTTAATTGTGCTTTATTCATTTATGAATATAAATTAATTCATGTATTCATTCAAGATTATTACCGGCTTCATATATGACTACAAATATATATTTATTAATGCATGATTACTAATATTCGGATAAAATGATTAATGCCTCAGTATTTTTGATGTGGTTGGTAAAAAAAATTAAAGAAAAAAAATACGTTTTTTTTAATTATGGTAAAAACGTTTTTTAAAATCATTTTATTGATTTTGTTAATTAAAAATATATTATATAAGTTCCTAATATTTGGGTAAAAAATCTATTAATCATATTAAATCCCATGATTTTAGCAATTAATTAATTACTCATAAATTATCCATAATTAATTATATTGTAAAATTCCTTTTATGTCCTTATATGATGATTGGTTCACAACTGTTCTCGCGTTCTCAACCTTTTAGGTGTTCTCATTTGATCATTTCCCTATATATATATATATATATATATATATATATATATATATATATATATATATATATATATATATATATAAAAAACGTTTGATGCCCGTGCTAAGCACGGGCCACAGAAGGTAATTAGGGTATTTCTTTCACCATTATCTAATTTATATGATGCTAAGTGAACTTTCAATGTAAAATTCTTAAATTATAAATGAAAATGGATGTATATTTTTATAATTACAAGTACATTACTACGATTGGTAACGGATTGTAAGTACATTGTTATTTTGGGAAAAAAAACTATAACTTCAACTTTATTACATGTAAAAGTTATGTACAATGATAATATTAATATAAAAATTAAAAAATGCTATTCCTTGGAGTTTACTATTTTTTTTGTTATATTGCTGAAAAAATCACATGATCGATTCACTTTTTTCTCTTTAAGGCATTGTACATTGAAAGCTACCAGATTATAAGATTGTACTGCAATGATTGTGATAACACAAAATTTGGCTCATTATTAAAACTTTAGCATGAAAATGTAAGTTTTGCTTGTATTCTTTTATATTGGTTAATTATGCTTGAACCACAAATTGTAGTTCTTTTTCAACTTTTATGTCAAATGTACAGTATTTGTAAATATAGAAAAAAGTTTTAGCTAAAAACTTTGTAAGCATAAGCATTTTACTATTAAGACATTGTATGTTTAAACACTTACCACAATTATAACATTAGCCTTTCAGTCACACGTTTTTTTAGGAAATACCAAAAGATGAACTTTATGAGTGTAATCTATTTGATAAATATAAAGATACATAGTTTTAAGTTTTAACTAAGGCATACTACAAAACTGTAGCAAGTACATTCCATATTTATTTTTGATGAATGTTTCAAAGGTAACTCAAACATAGAAGAATTAGAAGCCAATATGACTTTACCATTTACAATATGACCTAACTCATTTGAAAGAATAAATTCTCACTTTTCTAAACTTACTTTTAGGAATTATGAACACTCTTTAATCGCTATTTATCAAATGTTCTTATAACAATAAATATAATAAAATAATTTTAAAAAGTTTAGAAACTAGGAACCTATAACACGTTCCAAATGGTTCCGTGAGCGGTTCAATTAAAATAAGAACCTATGTATGTAACCGACACCAATTCCAACATTCTAGAAACAGCAGTTCCGGTAACGATTCCGGTCAATTTTGTAGGGTATCCGCCTATGCTCACATCAGTGTAAATATCAAGTACATAAGACTACTCGGTATGGGATGGAAACGTCGTGGAGGCGCCTACATGGGGCCTCAACAACGACGGTATAACGCCGAGAACACCACCCCCGATTCCCGTTAAGGTATAAGGTGTGGTAATGACAACGCCCATTTTTTCTTTCTTTCTTCCTTTTCATTTCTTCTTTCTCTGCCTCACAAATGCGTTGAAGGCTTGAAACACCACCCCCAAAAAATGTGGTGGAAAGAAAAAGAATATTTATGCTGATGTGGCCTTTCAGCAATGTTATTCTTTCTTGACCCATACCTGATACTCTAATACTTAGAATTTGAAGTTTTATCCTACTGTTCCTAATAAGGCCGACATTTATACATCATGGCCTATGAAACAACATTGTTATTTCTTACATTTAGCATAAATTAGAACACAATATTTATGGCATTTAATTTACATATGGCTTCAGCTCAAACAAGAAGCCCTTAATTAACCGTATTGTCATATTCATGCAATAAAATAAGTAACTAACCTTTGTTTGCTTAACATAAAGAAGTGGAATGAAGTACTGAGCATCTAATTCCAAGACGTACAACATCTTAAAGGACAAATCTATTATAAAAATAAGTGCAAGGGTAACAAAATTTTCTATGAGTAATCTCCAATCTAATTCCTCGATTTGCATTGGTCACCAAAGTAGTAGATTATGCATACCACAATCTAAAGGTTCCCATAATGAAAACTGGAAATTAGGCATTTCAATTGTGAACTAATATAATAAATACACAAATCACGAGGTTGAAAGTCACAGTTTCATTGTTCATGCCGCATTAAAAACAAGAAGGATCATACATAATATAGAAATGTATCCTTTGGTTGCCAAAAAAGGAATTATATGGAGAAGAGAAGAGTTATTTGTGGAAGCCGTTAAGAATGAATGTAAGAAAAAAAATGTCAGTATCCTTCCATGAGTTGAAATCATATTATCAAACATTAACTATTAACTCTCTTCGGTTACATATTGCCAATATATAAAAGGAATCAAGCTAATTAAATTAGATTGCGGTGGAAGGAAAAAAACCAAAATAAAATGTGATGAGATGGAACAACAAGAAAATAGAAGACATTGTTATCCTATTTATATATCAACCGCCTAGTATTTTGGAACAAATATAAGAATAAAAGCTATAATATTAGACATAAACCTTGCAAATGCATCGGTTGTTGCAATTCAAATTCCTAATCACAATATATACTTTTGAATATTTATTGAAATGCAACAAAGCTATATAGAAAGTTAAACTTTACCTTATTCAAAAAGTTCATTTGCAATTACACTCAAATACACACACTCTTTTCATACATTTCACCCTTCTCTTCTTCATTTGGTGCACCAAATGTCTCATCAAGCATCTATATATGATAAATAAAAACACATCCAATTAACAAAAGCTACAAAAAATTATCTCAGGAATACTTATTTATAAAGTTTATAGAACAGAGAAACCCATTTGTCATTTAGGGAGTGAATCTAACCCGAGTGAAATTGAAGTTTTCAGCAATGTGAGAGACAGAAAGACAGTAAAGTTGTTACATTTCAATCCCATATAATTTGTTGTTCTATATACACGATGTGTAACATAATTATGCAAACAGTTCCCATTGGAAGTTTCATCTTGAATTTGAAAAGTGCCCAAGTCCCTGCATATATTGAACATTTGCATGATTAGAATCCCTTTACGCTTTAGCATTGTCAACAAGGTAGATTTATTGCGTTTTCTTTAGAAACAAACAATATACAACCTCTTTGTTATCCGAGGAACCAATGATTTTAGCCTACATACATAAAATAAAAAACTTTAGGAACCCTAAAAAACTGAAAACCATTGATTATTTTACCAATTTAAAACCCATAGTGTAACATCCTGTTTCGGATCATCCGTGATTAGGGTTCGTGGGCTGCAAACCGGGCATGAAAAGGCCTCGGGGT